CCCAGCACAAGACGAATCCCCATGGTCTGGACCAGTGAGGATCTGGCCTGTGTTGGCAGCTATTCCCATCCCTTTCTCTCTCTCCCTCTCTATCCTTCTTATTTCTTTTCTGACCCCACTATCACATTTATTGGTTTTGGCCCCTAATAAAGGTGCATTTGTTGTGATTAAACTGATAGTCCCCTGGTGTTTGTCTTTTGCACTTTGGGTTCAGCTAACGAACCATCACCACACCCCACTGCAAGTGGATCGTGACACAAGGCAAGCAAAGAGAGTGCAGCAGTCAAAGCCCTTTCTCACCTGCACACCAAACCGGCTGGTGCACTGGTTCTGGCCCTGCTCTCTGCTACCCCCACTTGTTAAGACGTGAGATGGGGTCCCACGGACGGATTTGGGTGAATATATGCGAGAGATCTCTGTTGGTTGCTCTTGGGGGATGAGGTTTATTCAGGATGGAGAGAGGTCCTGCCTCGAGCTGCCAGATGCCGCAGTGGCTGGGCCTGAGGTGATGGGGGAGGGGAGAGACAAAGGGGGGAGCGGGGACTCCTGGAGGAAGTTCCAGGAGGAGAGGGGAAGATCCAAGAGGGCGTCTGGCCCCTCGGAGACCCTTTATCAGGGGGGTTCAAGGTGGGCTGGAACAGGACCTGGGCCAATGGGGTCACAGACACTTGATGGTTCAGGGGAGGGTTACAGGTGTGGGGTGAACCATACATTCTGAGGGGTGAGATGGAACAGTCCATTTGGCCTTTGGACCCCTCTGTAGGTGAGGGTTATTGTCCAGCCAGTAGGGGGGATTATATTGATCCTTGCTGTACTATTGTGGTTCTTAATCATATTTATCTATCCTTCCCAACACCCACTCATGGGTGTTTTTGTCGGGTTGGCTGCCCCCGCCCGGCCCCAGTCCTGCCCAGAGTGATGGGCAAAGGCTGCCAGCAGGGCTGGGAGCTCCCCACCCACACCCGCTCAAAAGCAACTCGACTGAAGACTCAGTCTTGTGTCTGGCAGCAAAAGGGAGAATCCCTGCTGGCACACCCAGCTTGGGCTGTGAGATGTTGGGCCTTGAGATGCCGGGACTGGGAGCACAGCCCTGCGTGGGCTCACCTGCAAAGTGAGCGTGGGCTGTGTCCTGCAGGTAGGTGCCACAGCCAAAGTCAATCAATTTAGCCTGGCCAGTGGCCAGGTCGAGCAGGATGTTCCCTGGTTTGATGTCCCTGTGCAGGACCCCGCAGCTGGTGCAGCGCCGCACGGCCTCCAGCACCTGCGGAGCAGCCCCCGCACCTCCTCCTCGGACAGGAACCCCCTTGCCCGAATAAAATGGTGCAGGTCCTGAGACCACTCTGGGCACTCCAGCACCATCAAGATGTTACTGTGGAGCTCCCGTCTCTCCAGCATCTGGACAACACCAGGGAAGTGTCCCTCTGTGTTTGGGGCAGCCCCTTCTCCAAGGAAAGCAGGTGGGAGTTGGAGCCAAGGAGCTGAAACCTGCAGGTGCAGCCTGGGCTGGAGGGAGCTCAGATTTGCACAAGGCTGCTCTGAGTGCCAGGGCTTGGATGGGGGAAATGGTGGGGTGGGGGTAGGGACAGAGTCTGATGGATTGTCAGCCATAAATGGTCTTGATTTTCATATCTATTCCAACTGCATGAGGAGGCACTTGGATTCAGTGTCAACTGGAGATTTCACACGCCAATTTATTAGGAGTAAAAAAAACTAAACAGGACCTGAAGAAATCTTTTCTCACTGTCCTTTTAAATATAGTGTAATCAACCACAAGAGATTTGAAAACTTAAATGATTCCCAGGGCTTGCCTTGTTAAGGTATTCTGAATGTTAATGAGCCCTGGGGCACTGAATTCCTGCACTGAAGAGCTGAAGGCTGAAGAAGCCTCTGGAGCAGTAAAATTCAGCAGCAGCCTCCAAGTTGCTGAGGATGTCAGCAGCCCCCACTGAGGCCATCCCTGCCCAGAGACCCTGGGGGAATGGGCAGACAAGGAGAGCGTCCCTGGGGCTGGGGCAGCAGAACTCAGAGGCACCAGCGGCTCCAGCTGGGAAATGGAGTGTGGGATGGGGCTGTGAAAGCCCTGCCTGGGCTGTGCCAAGCAGGACACACAAGCCCTGACCCCCATCCCCCAGACAACTCTCTAAAGGAGACATTTAAAAGGAATTACAATTATTTGTGTCCTCTGAATTGGATGCACTGGAGAAATACCAACAAGAGATTCTCAGGAGCTCCAAACAACAAAGCAGCCATTACTGGGAATTTTAGGAAATCAGAGAAACTTTGGCAAAGGGTTTAAGTTGATATTCAGTCAACAAAAAACACTTCTCAAAGCATTACTTTCCCCATTCAACCTCACAAACTCCAAGCCTCTTCAATTTAAGGTTAATCAAAATTTGCAGGAGGACAAAAATAGAAGTAGACACAGAAAAAGAAGAAAAATAAGATATAGAGAAGCACACAGAGAGCTACCACCTCCTGGATTCCAGCAGTGTTCAGATGGAAATTCCAAGTGGAGTAGAGTCCAGTTGTGTGCTTGTCTTGTGGTCAGCCTTAAATACCCCTTGGTGTTCCTGGGCCCTTCCCCCAGCTGAGACTTGGGGTCATTTGGTCACTCAGGAGCTGGGCTGGGGCTCCAGAGGTGGCTGTGGAGCATTGCCTGTGCTGTGCCAGGGACTGGCAGACACTGCTGGGTTGGGATAGAGGCTCTGGGGGGATTGGGGTTCCAGGGCAGGGCAGAACTGGGGTTCTGGGGCAGGGTAAGGCTGGACCTGCCCCTTCCTCCCCCACACGCGAAATCTTTCCAGCCAACAATCTCCTCCAGTCTGTCACAACAGGCAATGTTGGAGGTGGAACCCCAATTCCGGCCATAGGCACCTGGACAAGAAGGACAGTTCTTTTCCATAGGAAGGAAAGCCCAGAGCCCCAGTGTTTGGAAGGGAGGTGAGAGCCTCACTAGGCCAAGGCCAACCAGAATTGTCAGTAATGGCAGATTTTTCTGGGACCAGCCTTTGGATATAGGGAATTTTGGAGGTAGAACCCCAGTCTCAGCCATGGGCACTAGGAGAAGCTGGAAAGTTCTTTCCCATAGGAAGGAAAGCACGGAGCCTTCCCCAGTGTTTTGGGGACAGATGAGAGGTCACCCTCATGAAACCATTGCCAGCCAGACTTCTCATGGCAATATTCCTATGGGAGCAATCCCTGGAAAAAAGGAGATTTGGAGGTGAAATCTGAATTCTGGCAATGTGTGCCTGGAGAAGAATGAGAGTTCTTTTCCATAGTAAGGAAAGCACAGAGCCCCAGTGCTCCAGCTCCAGATGAGAGGCAGACCTTGGCATTCCAAGATCAGCCAGACCTGTCAGGTGGCCCTGGGAGGCCAAGCCAGCCAGACCTGTTCCATGTTCCCTCACTTCCATGGGGCCCCACAGTGTCCCAATGGTCCCTTGCTTCCAGGAGGCCCTGAGGTGTCACAATGCCCCCTTGGTGACACCAGGCCCTGAAGGGTCGGAATGGTCTCCATGGTTCCATCAGGCCCCACAGAGTCATAATGGTCTCTGGGTCCATGAAGTCCCGCAGTGTCACCATGGCCCCTTGGTTCCATGGGCTCCAGTGGTGCCACAATGATCCCCTTGGTTCCATGAGGTGCCCACAGTGTCACAGGGATCTCCATGGGAAGGAAAGAACCGAGCCCCAGTGTGGCAGGGGCAGCCACCAGAGGCCAAGGCCAGCCAGAGTTGATGGTACTGGCAGATTTTGTCTGGGAGCAACCGTTGGATATAGGGAATTTTAGAGGTGGAACCCCAATTCCAGCCATTTCTGTGTAGATAAGAAGGATGGTTCTTTTCCATAGGAAGGAAAGCACAGACCTTGTGTTTCAAAACAGAAGAGGAGAGAGGTGGCTCCTGAGAGGCTGAACCAACCAGATCTGTTTGTCCTGGCAGCTTTCATCCTATGGAATTAGGGAGGAGGAATTTCAATTTTGACCATGGACCCCTTGAGAAGAAAGAAGGTTCGCTTCCATTTGAAGGAAGGCACAGAGCCCCAGTGTTTTGAGGCAGGTGAGAGGCAGCTCCCAAGAGGCCAAGAGCAGCCAGACCTGTCTGTCCTGGCAGCTTTCACTTGGGAGCAATCCTTGGATGTACAGAGTTTTGGAGGTGGAATCCCAGTTTTGGCCATGGGTGGCTGGTCAGGATGGAAGGTTTTTCCCTATAGAAATTAAAAACACAAAATCCAAGTGTTCTGGAAGAAGATGAGAGGTGGCCACCCTTAGGCCAAGCCAGCCAGGCCTGTCTCTCCTGGTACTTTTCATCTAGGGGCTATCCTTGGACACAGGGCATTTTGGACGTGGTATCTCAATTTTGGCTATGGGTGCCTGGACAGGAAGTAGAGTTCTTTTCATTAGGAAGGAAAGCACAGAGCCCCATGTTTCAGAGGCACATGAATGCCAGCCCTCAGGAAGCCAAGGCCAGCCAGACTTGTCAGTCCTGGCAGCTTTTGTCTGGGAGCTATCCTTGGATATAGGGAATTCTGGAGGCAGATCCCGAGTTTTGGCCATGGGTGCCTGGTCAAGAAGGATGTTTTTTTCCCATAAGAAAGAAAAGCACATGGTTCCAGTGTTTGAAAGGCAGATGAGAGGTGGCCCCCGAGTGGCCAAGCCTGCCAGAGCTGTCTCTCCTGGCAGATTTAATCTGGAAACAATCTTTGCAGTTAAGAAAATTTGCAGAAGGAATCCCACTTTTGGCCATAGGCCCCTGGAGGAGAAGGACAGTTCTCTCCCATGGGAAGGAAAGCCCAGATCACCAGTCCTTCAGGGGCAGATGAGAAGCAGCCCTCAACATGCCAAGGTCAGCTGGACCTGTCAGGTAGTCCCCAGGAGGCCCAGCCAGCCAGACCTGTTCCATGTTCCCTTGGTTCCATGGACCCCACAGTGTCACAATGGTCTCCTTGGTTCCATCAGGCCCTGGAGTGCCACAATGTTCCCCTTGTTTCTGCAGTGCCACAATGGCCCCGTGCTTCCATGAGCCCTTGCAGTGTCACAATGGCTTCGTGGTTCCACAAAGCCCTGATGTGTCACAATGGCCCCTGGGCTCTGTGTGCCCTCGCTGTGTCACAGCGGCTCCTCTGTGACGCTGCGGCTGCACAAGGTCACCATGGACCCTTGGTTCCTTGGGGTCACCGAGTTCACAATGGTCTCCTTGATTCCATGAGGCAGCACAGTGTCACAATGGCCCCTTGGTTCCATGAGGTTCTGTAGTGCCACCATGGTGTCCTTGGACCTGCATTGTCACAACTGACCTGTGGTAATCACATATCCTATGAGCAGAGAGAGAGATCTCCCAGGATTTTCCTGGGAAGCTGTGAGAAAGCTCAGAGAAAAGAATGAGAAACAATTCTTATCTTCACTTGCTGTACCTGTTGTTGTGCACATGTGGAATGTGTTATGGAGATTTGTTTACCAAAGGGCGATTTCTTAATTGGTCAATGGTGATGGTGTTTGGATTTCAATTAACCAATCTGGTTTTTCTGTATCTGTTGTGGTGGCGTGTTTTTTATTTAATTTGATATTTGTTTAGTGCCTGTTCATACCCCCCCCCAATCTCCTCCTCTCCCCAGTTGTCAATCTTCCCTAGCTCTTCCCTAACCCCCTCCTCACCAAGATGTCAATCTTCCCTTCCCCTGCCCCTTTCCCTAGAACCTTCCCTGTCACTCCTCCCAGCCTCCTCCCCTGTTTCCAGAGCCTTCCCTGTCTATTTAGTGAGGCTCAACACCCTATTGGTTACGTTGTATTACTCCACTCCCCTGTTTTCCCTGATAGGTTTGTGATATGTTAGTCCTGCCCTAAACTCCTCCCCTGCTATTCCCTTATTGGTTGTTGTTCCTAAACCCCTCCTCCTGAGTTCTTGTATAAAACCTTTGTTCGCCCTCCCCGGAGGGTCTTGGGGCTCACTAAATAAATCCATCTTGCGCACCCTCAAGTCCCGTGTCGCCTCCATCTGTCACCGCGCCAACAACTGGGACTGCAGAGCTTCACAGGGGGATCGTCCGCCCATTCTCTTCCCTCGCCGCCCAGCACGCCCACGCTCGGGACGTTGCGGTGAGAGGTTGCGGACCGCACCGCAACAGATGGTAGCAGAGGATGGTTCCCTCCTTCGTCTTGTAAAACAAACGGGCAAATTCGTGGGGGCGCCTGCCTCACAAAAGAAGAAGGAGGGAAGAGGGACATCTGCGGCCGTGGAAGTTCTGCAGGACGCTAAGAGGAGCCGAGCGCCGAGCGACCTGAAGGTTCGACTCCGGGACCCTCTCTGCCCTTGCCTCCGCGCTCTCTATCCCTCCCCAAATCAGCCGTTCTGCACTGGGGCAGACGTGCTGCCGGGGCTTTTAGGGGTAGACCTACCCCAGGGCAAAGAGGGCGCCTTGGCAGCGGCTCAAGGGAGCCTGAAGAACGGACGACCGAAATGGGAAAACCATCGGTCGCGGCCTTGAACGAGACCACCAGAGGCCGATAGTGGCCGAGTCCAAGGCTTCGGGGACGAGCCTTGGATGCAGCCGGAATCGGCTGGACCTGCCTGCAGGTCCCGGGAACACCCAGGCCTCTGGAAGGGCCAAGCCGAAGAAGGAACGTCCCCAGTTCGGCGCGACTTTACCATCTAGACGAGGAGGAGAATCAAGCCATCACCACCCGGGCCCAGAGGGTAAGGAGGGCTAGACGGGGTTGAGGACGACCGAAATGGGAAAACCATCGGTCGCGGTTTTGTCAATCCCGACGGGTGGCTGGGTTTCCCATTTTTCTTTTTGCGTTTTAACCCTCGCCCGTGTCCAGACGGGGACGGTTTTCGTGTACGCCCCTGGCGGGCGAGTGGGTTTTTCGTTTCTGGGGGGGAGGTCCCAGGTACTCCTCACTCAGTCTTTTATGGGGACCCATATTTGATCGCTTTTTCTTTTCTTCGAGAAGTCGTCTTTTCTATCCTCTCCTCCCCATTCTGGGCTGGACGGAGGGGGTAGAAAAGACACAGAAGGGACAGAAATAGAGGAGGTGGCACGTTTACTATGGGAGGGTTGATAAAATCTTAACCAGAGCCCCTTACACCCATGCATTGCGCCGATATCCAGCTGCGTCGGGCTCCCCTCCTGTAGGTCTCTTTAGCTTCTGTGAAGCTCCCCATACCCCCATCCCCTCAGACTTCCCTAAAAACTTTCCCTATCCCCCCTTGGGGATGGCAGCGTACGAGCCGCCCCAAGTGCCCCGCTGGGCATTGTTGCCTTCCCTTGGAGGTGGTGTTGGCTGCGCCGTCTCTGAGGGGAGGGACTGTGCATCCAGCACCCCCTTCCAAGATGGCGCTGGCCACGCCACTTGGAACCCGTTTTCCCGCCATGATCCTTCTTTTCCGCCCCTGGTTTCCCGCCAACCCCTCCCCTTCCTCAAGGGCCCCGGCAATCAGAATTGTCGCGAGGCTAGTCCCTGTTGTTGGGAGGCGGGGCTGGATACTCCCTATCCTTCTTCTGGCTCCTCCTCTGGTGGGACGGATCGCTGTCGAGGACCTCCCATCAGAGGACCCCCCTTCTTAGGAGATCACTCCCCTTCTTGGGAGGGGTCTCCTTTGGGAGAAGGTGGGGCTGAAACCCCGGACCGGGAACCCGCCATTTTGTCCTCCCCCTAAGATGGCGGCGCCCTGGTCCACCCCTTACCGATTCCCTTTAGTAATCATGACAGTCACTCATAGAGTGATTGTCTGATTCCCCTATCCCACTCCTTAATATACCCTACCCAATGTTCCTTTTTATTTCATTATAAATTCCCCTTATTGTTTTTGATTATTTTTGGAATAATTTATTTGTTGAGTTATATTTTATAGAAAGAATAACCACTCCATTTAAGTAACACACGAGATAGTATGTCCACCATATGAATAAAGAATGAAATTAGACAAACCATGTCGCCGCTCGCTGCTTCAACTCTGCCATACGAACTTCATGAAGCTGAATATCACCAGCACCGCGACAAGTCAAGTTTTGAACCAAATCAAGTTATAAATCTCGCCGAGTGTTACCCCTGTATTGTAATTGTAATTAATCTGTACTTCTCTAATGTTTTTCAATTTATATTCTTTTAGTAATTTGTAATGTTATTATATAATTTTGCTGTATCTTATATATGAAGTTTACATTATTTGCTTATTGTATTAATTTTCTTTCAATGTCAGAACTCTCCTTCCTTTTGTAAAAAGAAAGGGGGAGATGTGGTGGCGTGTTTTTTATTTAATTTGATATTTGTTTAGTGCCTGTTCATACCCCCCCCCCAATCTCCTCCTCTCCCCAGTTGTCAATCTTCCCTAGCTCTTCCCTAACCCCCTCCTCACCAAGATGTCAATCTTCCCTTCCCCTGCCCCTTTCCCTAGAACCTTCCCTGTCACTCCTCCCAGCCTCTTCCCCTGTTTCCAGAGCCTTCCCTGTCTATTTAGTGAGGCTCAACACCCTATTGGTTACGTTGTATTACTCCACTCCCCTGTTTTCCCTGATAGGTTTGTGATATGTTAGTCCTGCCCTAAACTCCTCCCCTGCTATTCCCTTATTGGTTGTTGTTCCTAAACCCCTCCTCCTGAGTTCTTGTATAAAACCTTTGTTCGCCCTCCCCGGAGGGTCTTGGGGCTCACTAAATAAATCCATCTTGCACACCCCCAAGTCCCGTGTCGCCTCCATCTGTCCCCGCGCCAACAACTGGGACTGCAGAGCTTCACAGGGGGATCGTCCGCCCGTTCTCTTCCCTCGCCGCCCAGCACGCCCACGCTCGGGACGTTGCGGTGAGAGGTTGCGGACCGCACCGCAACAATCTGTAGCAGTCAGAGGCCCTGTAAGGCCTCACTGGGGATCAGTTACCTAAGATAAGAAATCTGAGTCATGATGACTGGACCAAAGAAGCCCCTCTTCCACATTTGGACCCTTGTTATCTCTCTGTAAGACCATGGCTCACATTCACCCTGACCCTGGCAAGTGGACAATTTCCAACACTCCTGTACCCATTTCTGCCCAGTTTGGCAGAAGAGCTGTCACTGTCCCTTTGACAGGAGCTGCCAATAAAGACACGGCTGTGGAACCGCATACAGCCTTCTCTCTCTCTCATCCCTGTGTCTGCCGAGGCAGTTAGCGAGCAAAGAGCTGAAATCACTAAGAGCTGAATTCACCAAAGAGCTGAAATCACTCCAGAGCTGCTCGCTAAGTTTGCCCGCGCCTTGGAGTCTGCCTGAGGGACCTGGACAGGCTGAGCCCATCAGCCCAGCGCTATCCGGGACACCAGCGGCAGCTGGGGTTGGGTGGACCCCTGGGACCCCAGGTTGCATTACACTAACGGAGTACTGGCATCCTGGCACCCCTGAGAGCAGCATTCCTCATGAATTGTCACTGCCTCGGGCGGCGATGGCCCCTTGAAGGTAACTCCTCCGTTGTAGAAGAAGTTTTCTGAAGAGGCATCTGATGAACCTCCATATCGCCATCTGGGATGAAATCTTCAGGAGTTGGATGGCAGACCACTCACCCAGCAGTTCCTGACCCACATTCGGCTGAAGAAGTGTAAGTTTAAAAGAGCCATTTTGTGCGCTTTTATCTTGGGTCCCTTTTTAGGTTTTTTTCTTTTCTTTTTTGTTTTTTTCCTTTTACTGCTGGGAGGGGAAAGGGAGCAATACTGAAATGGGAGCAAAATCGAGTAAATTAAAATGATACCAGAATGAGAGAGACTTATATTTACAAATCCTACAAATCCTATCTGCTAACAGCTTTTCTTTCTCTAAAGGCAATCTTTTAAAAACTGACTTAAATTATAGAATAGATTATCTCCCACTTTCCAGATACTAACACACACACTATTGGTTTAGAGTCATTTTGGGAAACAGTAGGGACAAGAATATACGCTTTCCAAACTAATGAAAACTTTTCTGTAACTAAGTTTCTACCTAGATTTCACTCAATTACTAAAGCAGTCGAAAAGGTAAATTCTCTGCAGCTTCCTTCTGCTGAGGAAATTCCACCCTTATCTTTCTCAACAGACACTGTCCCTTCAAATGCTAATTTGCCAGATAACATTCCTCTCTCAGTCCCTGGGACGGGGAACACAGACATTGTACCACCCCACCCACCGGCGGGGTCCGTGGAGCCCACCCATCCCTCGCTCCCCCTCGGACGCGGCGAGCGCGGATTCCGCTCCGCGGTCCCGCAACACGCGGCGCGCTGCGCGCCCCGTGCCCCGCTCAGTGTTGGGCTGTAACTGTGTCGGTTTCCATCGGGAACGCCCTGCCTCACCCCAAAACCTCCGCGCAGCCCCCGTGACTCCCCCAGCCCTGCAGCCGTGCCTCCCAGCCCCGCTGCGGCTCTCCCCAGCCCGCTCCCATCCCTGCCTGCCTGCCCGCCGCAGCCCCGCCGTGATGGCAGCAGCTCCCCCAGCCCCACCGCCTCCTCTGCCCCGCTCCTCCCTTGCCCTCATCCCCAAGCGCTGCACCCACCCACCCACCCTCAGCGCCCCCCGAGCGGCACCTCCGAGACCCCCACGGGGGCACCCCACTTCCCCACGCACCTCAGCCCTGCGCAGGCTGTGCCACAGTGGCGCTGCCATTGCCGCTCCACTGCTGCCTCCCTCTAGCCAAGCCCAGCCAGCTGCCCCCTCACACTCTGTCCAGCCCCCCACACCCCTGCCAACCCTCGCTCCAACACACCCAACAAAGCGTAGTGCACCTCCTGCTCGCTCTCACTCCTCATCTGAGCACAGTGAGTCTGATAGTGACACAGGGGACACTGATCCATGGGCTCTAATCAAAATGGAAGTGACTCGGGCAGGGGATTGGGAACTGGCTCAGAGAATTTCTGCCTTCCCAGCAATTTATATAAAGGGGAAAAGATGGCGGACAACTAAACTAACGTGGGAACCTAACACAACTGAAGAACTGGTTGTCCTAGGGTGACTGTTATGGTGTTTGTATCTCCAATTGTGTGTTCTGTTTACGTTTGATATTATGTTCTGTGCTTTCAGAACTGACTCTGAAAGTGAAGGTTTGTTTTGCTGTGTTATCATCTGGTTCACCTCCCCCCATGTCTGCTGGAAAGTTAGAAAAGGCTAGGGCTGGCTGGCTGGCTTTGCTTTGCTTGCTTGCTTGGCTTGCTTGCTTTGCTTGCTTGCTTGCTTGGCTTGCTTGCTTTGCCTGCTTTCTTGCTTTGCTTCCTAGTTAGGTTAAGCAGTCCAATTCTTTCCCTGGACTGTTGTTTTTTTTTTCCCTTCCTCTTTCTGAATATCATCCAGCCTGCTCTGGACTGGGATCTGGGAAACACCAAAGAACACCAGGAGCCTGCATTTGGAGATCTGCAGCAGCCATCCCCAGCGTCCAGACCCAGGCGACCACTCCCAGGAAAGACCTTCTGGATTTGTTCAGCTCTTCAGAGGGGTGAAAGAGTTTTGTTGTCATCTTGTGTTGTTAATTGTTTTGGTGCTGGGGAGTGCTTTGTTGTTGAATAAACAGGTTCTTTTCCACTTCTCTCTTAGAGGGAATTTTTCCCTGAACCAGGTGGGTGGAGAGGGGCCGTGGGGGTTTATTTCCTGGGTTTTCCCCAAATTTGCCCTAAACTAGGACACTGGTACAACTACAAAATATAGCCAAAGAACATGGGAGAAGTTCACATATTTTTAGAAATTTTCTGGAAACTCTCTTTTCAGCACACGTTTTGGTACCTCACGACCTTAAAAACATTGCTCACTGCCTTCTTTCCCCAGCAGACTATATGCTATGGGAAAGGTATTGGAAGAGACAATTTAAAACTTTATCAGACATCTATGCACAAGATGCAAATAGGCCAGATTTTACAGTCCAACAGCTGGCTGGAGAAGGGGATTTACAGAAACTCTGTGACCAAGCTAACACCTTACTTAAGGCAGCACTACAAGACTTGGCTATTGCAGCAAAAACCTCCTTGCTCCTTACCCCAGATGACTCTACCCCTACCCAGCACTTCTCTAGCATTAAACAAGGAGTCGATGAAATATTTATCAAGTTTGTAGACAGAACTAAAGATGCTCTGGAAAAACAGATAGAGAGCACAAGAGGCAAGAAAAGAACTGTTGTGCCAGCTTGCCTTGTCAAACGTAAATGAACAATGTAAAACAATTCTGAGACCCTACCCTTGGATACAGAACCCACCAGAGAGCAAATGGTGGAAAGCTGTACACGTCATTTGTCCTCTGAAAACACAGTGGCCCAAGCAGTTGCAAAGGGCATTGCAGAAGGAGTTTCTGGTGCAGTTGCAGCAGTAACTTCCAAAGGCCAGGCCTGCTGCTATCACTGTGGGGAATTTGCACATTTTATAAAGGACTATCCGGACAGGTCACCTACCCAAAACCCCCAAAACACCTACCAAAGACCCCAGAACCAGCAGCGCTACCAGCAGCATTCGGGAAACTCCCAGTGGAGCGTGGCCAGGTCCTGTGCAAAGACAACAAATCAAAAGCCATCCAGACCCAACCATGCATCATCCCAGGAGATCCCAGGCCACCTGGAGAGGATCCAACCCACTGAGCAATACAGATGGGAACACGGCGCCAATTGGTAACTGCTCTGTCTATTGACTTTAATAATAAGGATGTTTATCGTGTTCCCACAGGAAAGCATGGGCCAAAAGGGTTTTTTTTTGACATTTTAGTTATAGATGCCACTCTCCATGGCCCAGAGGAAATCTTTGTTGTTCCAGAAGTACAAACAGTGCACCCAGGACAAGAAATCTCAGTCCAGCTGTGCTGCACGGACTCACAATTTTTCCTTTCATGAGGAATTCTGATCGCACAAGCCTTTCTACTCCCAAAGAATCACAGGGAACAGCTTCCTCTCAACCCTACAGCAATGTGGGCACAAGACTGGGTTCATACTGGGATCATACTGGGAAGGACTGGAACCATACTGGGACTGCCTGGAACTATTATAGGGGTGAATGGGAACACCTGGGAACATGCTGGGATCATGCTGGGATCACACTGGGAGTGACCGGGATGATACTGGCATCACACTGAGTGTAACTGGAAGTGACTGGGACCATACTGGGGGTGACTGGGAGCCACAGGGCCCATGCTGGGAGTGGCCTGGGGGGAACTGGGGGAACTGGCCCAGCTGGGGCTCAGGGTTGTTCTCCCCCAGGGCTGCCCCAGGTCCTGCTGCCACCCCCGGCCCCACAGAGCCAAGGGACAGGGGACAGGGGAGAGGGGACAGGGACAGGGCACAGCTGAGGGACAGGGACAGGGCACAGCCAAGGGACAGGGGACAGGGACAGGGCATATCAGAGGGACAGGGCACAGCCAGGGAACACAGCCTGGCCAAGGGACACTGAGCCCCAGCACTTTGGGCTGTTGCCCTTGGGCTCCCAGCACAGGCCCAGGGGCAGAATCCCCTCCAGAAACTGCTGTTTGCTTTCAGCTCTGCTCTGGAACATTCCCCAGGAGCCCCTGCAGTGGCTGCAGCCCAGCCGGGTGCCCGGGGCCACCAAAGCC